AGATATTCAAACATGAGTTCATCATCACTCAACAACTTGATTGCGTTTTCGTAGTGCTGCGTTGCTTTGTCGTATTCATGCATTTTGACTAGAGCCGAGCCTAGTTTTTTGATGAGCTGTATATCTTTTGGGTTCCCTTTGAGCGCTGCCTCGTAAGATTCTGCTGCTTGAGCTGGTTCTAAAAATAAATTTAGGGCCGTATTCATAAACGATGTTGGTTAAGTGAAGCAGAAAATCGAACGCACAGCGTTGAATAGACCTCTTTGATTTGTTCGTGTGTCACCCTGTGTGCCCACGTGCACTGTGAGACCTCATATTAATGTTTATGAATACGGTTGTTAATAATAAAAAAATCAACTAAGATCAATATGTATAAGCAAAAGAGTAACCGAAAATTATTGTAAGTAGTCAGCTGACCAAGACCTTGCTTTTTTAAAGCCAATAGTAGGGAGACTAAGCTAAATCTGATCTGTATTTCTACTCCAAATAAATTGTTACCAAGATTATAATTCAGGTAAGGTAATAATAGTAATAGTCTACTATTAAATTAATTAACCTGTAATTGGACTCTACCACTGGTTCTAATTAAGACTATTTTTTACAAAAACAGATTCACTTTCTAGATCTCTTATATTAATAGAAAATGACATGCAAATTGAGATTAACTTTTACTTTTATTTAAATCTTACCACAAATAGACATGAATGCATCTCCCATCATAGTATGAGCGTCAGCCATGGGGTGATTGCTCACAATTTCCTTAAAACAAGTCGTAAACATTCCCCGATCGTTCTTCTCCTTTAAATATATGTGGGCCATTTTACTGTGGGCTTGGAAGTAGTATGGCTGGCCAGGTTTGATCTCGTTGAGGATGTCTATAGCGTTGTCGACGTCACCTTTCTTCAAAGCCAAGTCTGCTTTAGCAATTGAGAGGCGGCTTTCTTCCGATGTGTACGAGAACTCTTGAATTGCTTCCTGTAATGGTGTACATTTTTTTGTGGATTAGTAAAGAATTTAGAGATAAATTGTACTTTGAAGATTAGAGAAAATATAGTCATACCTGCATCGTTTTCCCAGCTTCGCCAAATTGTTCTAAAGACGTTTGTATCTCGATAACCTGAAGATATAATGTGGCTTTGTCTATAATATTCATTTCTGACTCTTGATGACGGCTCATGCTGGAAGCCTTACTAGTCGCAATCTGCAGACTCGTCATAAAACTGGACAGGGCTTCCTGGATTTGATTGGTACTTTTCAGAATTACCCCATTGAGAAAATGATACATAGCACTGTCTCTCACTTTGAAGTTGTAGCTCAGGCACATTTCTAAGCATTGAGCAGCTTTTTGAAAAGCCTGCTGTTGGATGTATATCTGTGACAACAAAATCTGGCTTCCAACATGGGTGCTATCCAGCTCACTAATTTGCTGGGCCATTTTCTGACCATCATTTGCATAACCAAACAAAAATGTCAGCTTCGCCAACTCATATAATGCTGCTATCAAGCCTGGGCATGCTTCACAAATAGTATTGAGAAGTTTGAAGCAGCTGGCCACTGATGAATTAGTCCCTTCTTGAGAATATAAAATGTATCCAATAATAACAAAAGGCTTCTTAGGTAAATGCTTCCTGTATTCTTTGTACACATCCAGTAGAAAATCAGGGTCTAGTACTTTGACATAATCTAAGCCAAATGGATGAATATTTGCATATGCTATCCTACTTTCTAGTGCTGTGTTGAGGAAAGAAAGTGCATTAGAAGTGTTCTTAGAATTCAACTGTGCTGACAAAAGATACAGAACAGGCAATTTGTTTGGCCCTTGCATTTCAAAAAGCAACTCAACTTGTTGTCCAATCTGATCAGTTGGTCCATTTTCAAACATTTGACATAATGTTAGCCCACACAATGCTGTAATAGAGTTGCTATCAATTTTGCTGGCAGCTTTAAAAAAATTAAGGGCATCCCTGTACTTTCCTTGCAGGATACATTGGTATCCAACTTCACTCAAATAATCAACATTATTGGAATACATTTCAGAGGCATATTGAGCAAATCTGTACACTTGAGATAGTACAGCACTGGATCGACCACAAATTTTTGAAAATATCTGTGTTGTGTTGAAGAATTGATATCCGTTATGTCCTTCTTCATTTTCAAGAATAGAGTAGTACTTGTTTAGTTGATCAGCTGCTTCTATGTAATCAGAGTTCTTGCATAGAGTAATGAAAATCTTGATCTTCATTGCTTCCAAGTTATCAGGGTCCAGAGGGAATATTCTCTCCATAGTGTCATACACTGCTTCCCACCTTTGCAAGGCAAATTCATTTTTCATTTTCTCTACAAGGGGAATCACTTGCCCTGGATTATTCACAATAAGTTTATCTAAAGCTAAGTTTGATGCGTCAAAGTCTTTAGAATAATATTTGAATCTTGCTATCCCAAGAAGCGCCTCAATGTTTCTGTCACTTTTAGTGAGGGCTAATTCTAGGCAATCCAAAGTAGACATTTGCATCTCTCCCAGGTTCAAATATATTTCATTCCAACCCTTTAAAATAATGGCATCCAAGTTGTTTGGATCCTTTCGTAATGCCTTATTGATATATTCAGATGCTCGCTCATACTTCTCGGCCAGTGAAAGAAATAATCCTGCATAGTAGTATGATGTTGCAGATGCTTGTTTCTTTTCTTCTTTTAATTTAGATTCTAGACTGTAGAGTGCTTCTCTATCTAACATATTGCCAAGTTTGTATCCATAAATTAAAGTCATCAAAACCGCTAATTGGATATCTTTATCGGACTGTAATGGTGTAAGCTCATTTAGTCCTCTTTGTACTTGTCCCTCTAAAATACTAGCCAGTCCACTATAAAATTCAAATTCTACGGTGTCATTGTACTGCGTAGATGCCAGTTGTGCAATTTTTTTAGCCTTACCATAGTACTTTTCACGTAAATAATAATGTATACTACACCTATACCATGAGAAATCCATTAGGAACTTTATTCCAATTCCAGTTTGACTTTGAGATTCTTGTATTTGCTTTGATTACTCTCCAAGTAATGAGCGAGGAAATGACACTTGCAAGTCACATCAAGCTTGTTGTCCACTGCATAGTCAAATGCATACTGGAGAAAGAAAAAATAATTATAAACTTAGATTAAAACAATCTACAAGTATTACTGGAATAAACTGGATGCAAGTGGTCAGGGACAGAAGTTAATGGAAGGTTGAAGATGATGCCTAAGTTGGAAGACGAACCCCAAAGGCTGCTATAGGATAGTAAAGTTAGGTTAATTTAATAGTGAGTGTAGTGTTTAACAGTGAGCAGTAGTCTGTTTTTACAAGATTAATGCAGCTTTAAGTTTAGGTTTTTCACAAAAACAATACATCTTACCTTGGCTAGAATCTTTCCAACGCCTTTCCCTTGAAATTCTTTCGGTACATTGGTGTGAATAAAAGTGATATTCTTCCCACTTTTATCGTATTCTAATACGGCGTCAGCTGTAAATGATAAACAATGTAAGACACTTTTATTGCTGCAACTAGAATTTGCTGAATTACCTCAATAGTATTTAAAAATACAATCTAAATAACTCACCGCCTCGAATGGAAACCATGAACTGTTGCTTAGCAACATTGTTGACAACTTTCAGAACTTCCGTTGAGAAAGCTCTTGCGCGCGTTATCGTTCCCGACATGAAAAAATGATTTTTAATATTCTCCGCTGAAAGTCTGAAAACGCCTGAAAGAATTTTGTTTTGATGTAACTTTTTTTGACATTTCATTCGCGATTTTTCGGTGTTTGTTTTTGTTGTGTGACGTAAATTTGACGTATCGGTATGAATGAAGACAACCTAACAACGTTCCGTAATGCAGAGATTACGGAATCGTAGTTATGCAAATTGATGAAATTATTTATTTTTCATTTAAAAGGCTTTGAATCTTTTTGCAACTTTTTATTTAACAAAAAAAAACACGAAGGAAATAATTTAAATAATCAATAATTATTAAATACTGACATCAGAGTTTGAATTATTTCATTATCAATTTTATGGAACGGAACGTTTGTTCTTGCGACATGCGTGAAGATTATGGCGGGAAATCCTAAACTGTTTTCGGTAAGCTCAGCAACAGCAGGATTCAGGAGAATGGGATTGTTTAGCGGTCATTACTCTTGTGAAAAGTTAAGTATTATCATTATTCCTATCACGTACTTACCTACTGCCTGACCTTGTTGTTTCTATTCCAGCAATTCCAGCGCATATAGGGCACCGCCCAACATAGCAAGATCAAAAAAAGTTTAACAAACGTAGGATCTTCAAACAAAAAATGAATCTAATGGGTGAGCGACCTACTGGTTGTCCTTGAATGGTAAGGTAACGAGGGCTTAGTTTGTTCCGAATGTCGATCTAGCTATTATTGCACGTCGTGTATCTTACTTAGGCTAGGCCTAAGTTACCTAAGTACTTAGGCATACAGTAACTACTACAGATTTTTATAAAGGTAGCAGGAGACGCTGGAAAATCATCATGCATGGGGAGGCCTAATTTTAGTAGTGGACGTCCTGTGGCTGAAATGTTAATAAGTAAGTTTCTATCTTGTCGCGTGATTTTCTTCATTATGTAGCTGAATAAGTCTGAATATTAAACCAGCATCATTTTGATTATTTTAAGCGTCAAACGCTTCATAAAACAATAGAATGACGGTTTGACCTTCGCATTTCCTAAAACGTGGACCTACCACGTTAGCTGCTATATTCATTCCGGGCTGATTAATTATGCGGTCGCTCCTATGCATCCATGGCACCAAACGTGTGACCAACGACCAATGGAACAAGTGGCGGTAAGTCAGCAGGGCTACTCCGAAACAGTGTTTACGTGGTTTCGGATCTACCTGTCACTGTCGCTCTTGCTGGCATTTCGCTTTGCGGGAGAGGGATGGCAACATTCGAAACTTTGAATAACATTTTTCGTAGTAGCCCCGCAGTCATCGTCGTGCGCCCGCGCAGTCGCAACCGAAGCGCTGTGCGCGCGACGCGCACGACAGACTATCGATTAGAGCGCGCGATCGGAACATGTGAACTGTGAAGGACGTGTTTATTATTGTGTGAACTTAATGTTTATAACCAGGTGGATAACTCAACTTGGCAGGACACCTGCCTTTTTGTTATTCATAGCTTTATTCAGATTTCAATATAGATCAATAGCTGAAACCTGTGTAAATAGTCACGATTACCTATCATAGTTTTGAATTATTTAATTGGTTTACAAAGCTGCTTGTGTTACTTTTTAAGTAATTAATCAGTATTAAATCACCTACAACCTGAGTAGGACGTAAGATACCTACTTGCTCTTTGTTTTATAATAATTAGAAAATTGGTAACACATTATGTTTGAAATAGGATTTATGTCTCCAAAAGACTTGTGTTAATTAAAATTGCTTTGATAGTATCTTTAGTAGACTATTTCAAGAAATAATGTATTATAATAAAATTATTCACCCTCTTATAAAACTTGTAACCACCTATGGAGTCACTATGAATAAATTTTAATAGAAATAGGTACGACACCTAAGCTGTTCAAAAGAATTCTCACTAAAGCATACAACATAAATCATCAAATTTCTCTCATTTAATATAAATATTTTGTAACAGCATGATCATTTCCAGTTATAAAATTCGCGAGCATTATTAATACCATTTCATATCTGCATAAGAATGTGAATAAGTAGGCGGGTATGCGAATCTTTACGTCTGCCTGTAGACAAGTCAGCTGCATATTTTCACATGTTGTCCTATCAGATGGTAGCTTCGTAAACAGTGGATTTTAAGTAATATTTTTTACCTGTTGACCTGTCTTAGCTTCAGAATCAGTGGATTATAAGTCTGAGGATAGGTGGCCAATGTGATTTGAGTGTGTGTCGACGAGCTTATGGGGCAATGCGTGTCCCGGAGTCATCCGGGCCCGTATGCCTTCTCTAGACACTACGATGCCGAGAGCCTAGCGAGCAGCGTCAGCGGGTTCACTAGGAAGGTAGGTTCATGTTTTTATTGTTAGCTATTTGTTTATAACGACCGACTGTTTTATTTTATTTCATTGATATCTGGTAGTTAGCTGTTTAGCAGCTACTAAAGTCCCTACTTACTATTGAAACGAAAAGGCGCGGCGCTGAATTCGCTCCAAAGTCATATTCATTCCTTGCTGCTTGCTTGCTGATATTATTGAAAAAATCAATCAAAACATTCACTTTGAATCGAGTTTTAATTTTTTATAGTAAATTATCGGTTCATTTTGGTGTTTATTGCTTGTGTATAACAATTACTTTGAAACATTATTTTAAACCTAAATACAGAAATACAAAATTGCAGAAAAATTACTTAAAGTAAGCAGTAACTTTTCCGGACGTAATGATTTATCGGCCGCTAATAAATTAACTTTAGAGACAGCGTGAGCTTTTTCTATGTTTTCAAAGTAATTAACCTTAATTGTTGGACAGGCAATAAAAAGTTTATTAAACTTTTACATGTCAGATAAGCCTATAAAATCCTGAAGATTTGCAGTGGATTAATTTCTTTCTAGATATTATTAAGTAAAATTTATAGTGGTTCGACCGTAAAACTCGTCTTTCATAAGGAAAAATGTCAATAAAATACTTTTTTTAAGATCAACCATTTTCAAATCAGCCTGAAGTATTTTTATTCAGCATTTCGTTAATACAACGAATTCATTGCATCATCGAATGCCGATGTCGTCGAATGACTCACAGGTGATCTCACCCGAAACCTTTACACCTGACAAGACGATTTTAACCGGTTCACTTTCCCGCCCTGATGCACAGACTCCAAGCCATCGGGATATGCGGTTACAGTATGACGTATGTCATACAGCCATACACGTGAGAGGATCAGCACATTGAGTTATAATGTACTACGTAGTAATGTCGCAGTCGGATTGTATAATCCGCCGTTTTACATTACCACTAGGCATTTTACATTACAGCTCTGTTTTGTAATACGGCGGCTCAACGTTTAGGCGGATTGTCATTGCGATACGTTCTTCAATACGGCGGCCCACGTTTAGCGGCATCGTACTACTATTTAGATTGTAGGGTGACCATACTTACAAAATAAACGAATGTTTAATGAGAATAAATTTTAATAAGACATATTTTAAGAATTATTATCTTCGTTACTGTATACTAAATAATATATTTGGCTTCAGTAATTTTTTTAACTTATTTATAAATCACAAGGGATAGGATGATAAGCCATCTAAAAAAAAGGACTCAAAACAATTAAACTTTTCTAAATATTTTAAAAATAAATTAGATATTTGGCTTTAGTCTTTTTTAGACATTAAAAATGATCACAGGGGACAGGTAACTCAAAAAAATAAAGTTTTAGTCATTTTTCTGGGTTATTTTTCTTTAAGATAAAATTATCTTCACCGGCCACAGCCATAATGTCATATTTTTACACTAATAATATTGTGTAGGATTCCGCCGAACACCAGAATCCATAGCCACTTTAGCTGTTTTGATGTGGGTTATAACCTCTAAAACTCGTTCCCTTGTCCACGGTTTTTTTACTGTTCCACATTGAATTATTTAATTGCACATTATAATTATTCTTAAAGTCACTGTCGACAGACATATTATTTATCACCTTTTTTCTGTTAAATTCACAAATAACTACGCAATTTAGCAATACAATTTCTGTATCCGATGCCATTGTTGTTGTTATCACATGTTATGTCAGGCAGCGCCACGGTATTGAAAATAGGAACTAAAAACTGACAAAGCGGCGGGTAATGACACGCTGTTTTACATTACGGCTAGCCGTATTGAAGAACGTTTGGCACCGAATACATTCCGGCGGATTTTCATTCAGCCGTATTCAATCCGGCTAAACGTTAAGCCGCCGTATTACAAAACAGAGCTGTAATGCAAAATGCCTAGCTGTAATGTAAAACGGCGGATTATACAATCTGACTGCGACAGTAATATTACTTCAATGGATCAGCAAGGGATTCTTCCACAAACTAGATTTACCTAATAAACATTGCGTCTATCAACAGTACCTATTATAATTGTTATTATTAAAATGAAATAGTACTTAACTATACACTCTTAAGCGTCAAATCTACATTTTCGGTACTATTCAATAATAAACAGTACCTACCTACGCGACTTGAGTACCCACCTAATCTATGAGTGGAATTTATTGTACTTTTTTATATAGCCAAAATGTAGGTAGGTACTGTCGCGATTCAATGACCATTGATTTACTTAGGTGCCTACTTGTAAGCTTATCAATTCGCTGACGATCTGCTCTTGGCTTTATTTAAAAGTGCCATGCTTACAAATCTTTCTACATAATGGTCAATACACAACCAGGGTAGATGGTATCGGCACCTCTCTTATCGGATGGCCCCGCGAGGCGTGACTCCGGATGAATGGAGCTGGTGTAGGAGCCTGTGGTCGATGCTTCTAATGATACCCGAAGTGATTGCCCGCTAGTTAAGCTGCGGTTACAATAGCTGAAGTGAAGATGAAAATATTTCATAATTGTGTTACATTTTGCAGCGAGAAATACTAGTAAGCCCGGATTAATTGAAAAAGGTGTAACATAATAAATAATTACTTACTTGCATAATGGTTTATTTGAAAAATTGAAAGCTCATTCCTCGTTACCTACTCCATTTTAGTATAATTTATGCGTTATTTAATTGAGATCGATACGTAAGCTTTTCATAATATTTGAGAGCAAAAGCGTGAGCATGATCTAGATATTATCTAGACATTTACATAACAGCTAGTCACTTATAAAAATAGTAATAAGTTCCAACAAAGCTCATTCAAAGGCTATTTACTACATGTTAAACAACTTTCATAACATTGCGAGAGGTCAGTGATAAAATAAATTGACTGTCGGCTTTGTCAAGTACGGTAGCACGTTGTTTGTAATGTAAGCCACTTAGGTACTTAGCGGTAATAAGCAATGTCAATCATACATATTAGCGAACAAATGTTCTAACTCGACTTAACTACTGTTGAATGCTTATTTAAAACCTTTTTACAGACATTGCAGTAATTGTTACGTTTAGTTATCTAGTCATAGCCAGTTTCAACACAAAATTGATAAATTACTTAACACTTACGATAAATAAAAACTCTACTTCATGGGTTTCAAACCTATTTTGTACCATATTTATATCGAGTAAAATACCCATGTCTTTGTTTTGTCCTTTGATTTAAAATCTGATATAAAGAAAATAGACATCCCGATATAAAGAAACTAGACATACGATTACCATACGTTATAACGTTGAAAGGTGACGCAGGAGCGCAGGTGTTGTTGCGAAATGGATACCTCAAGGGACGCAGACAGGCCATCGATCGCCTTACAAATAAAGATGCAAATGCTAGAAAAGAGAAACCTTAGCCTGTATCGTTGTGTTTGTGTAGCTAAAGCTAAAACAGTTGGGCTTTTCCTTGTTTTATGTTCACATATTTTGGTCAGATGGCACTTTAGAAGAAGTGACGCGTTTATGTCTTTTCGTTGACATTGTATAAAATTAATTTATCATGTTTTTTTTATATCACTACTATAACGACTGTTATTTACTTTTTAAAAACTTACTTACTTTACTACTTTTATTTACCTATTCAATGTCGCTTATGACTATGTATGTAAATCATAGTAAACCATCATGAATATTAACTGTAGGGTTTACTAAACTTTTAGACATCTAATCTTTTTCCGATCATAGAATTGGACCCATCGTCAGCCAAGACTTTTTGCTAGTTTATTCAGTTGTCAATGTCGTCATTAGTGCCATTAGCTCTGTAGCGTGTAAATAGACAATTCAACTCAAACACCCATAAAAGTAGTTTATTGCTCGCTGATGTATTCATAGCCTAACAAATTGTAATGTACCCATCGTTGTCCAACCACACAATGAGGGGCAGTGACCCGGTCACACTTGCCTCCTCTCCCTGCCATGAAAGAGTTATTATTTCGCAAAGTAGGAAAAACAGATTAGATCTGAACTTTTTGTGGTAAAGTTCATTATCACAGTAGACATTGAATCGTATAAAAATATTGAAGACGCCAATAACTGTACATTTACGAGTTTATATCTACTACCATAGACAAAAAAATAATCTTTTATTAAGTTAAATTACGTTATTTTAATTTTCATGAAAAGCATTTCATGAGTCCACCAGCCTAGGTAGTTAATTATATGCTATTCAGCCAGTTAATTACCAATTATTTTAGATAACCACTCTCGTAAATTGAAATTACGGTGAAAATGGCTAAAGCTCGATAACTTTAACCATCTACAGAGGTTTTAATTACAGATAGCGTTTATTACTGGCTGCATGGCAATGACGTTTCACCAGGGATCCACCAGGTTTCCGACCCGATGCTCTGTGTAATCGCAGATAATTATCCGCCCACAGACTACACACCTCTCGCCACTTTCTCGCTGGACGAGAAATAGTTTACAAATTGTATACAATCATAAATAATAGGCTAATAGAGTGGACGTGACCAGAGAATCGTTTAGCTTTAGTGGATGTTTGGATTGCTGTTATCTACTAATCGCTCTTATATCGTGCAGTTAGGTACGTGATGCCATTTTTCGAGTCTAAACAGAAGTACCCACGGCGATATAAGGGAAAGACTGGGGCATCATCATAATAATCGTAAAAGATGCAATTTTGTAACAAATATACAACATGGGCAGTTATAATTTCTATCCACTTAATTCAATCAATTAATTAATAAAAGCCTATGTGCTCTGACATCCCTACTTGTATATGCTACGTACCTAAGGACCCTTATTAATAAACTTTCATTCTTTTGAAGTTAGTTAGTCACCAAAAAGTAACCGAAGTTTACCAAAACTCTTCATATAGCGAAAGCATTACGAAACCAGTCAAAATAGTCGCCAATAATATCTAATCGAGTTCTCAACTCTCAAGTTCTCAACAAAGTAAAAATGCAAAGAACTGAAACATTCCTCGG